CTGCGTCTCCACATTGTGCTTGGCCCCCTCCTCCTCCTCCTCCAGCTGCTCCTTCAGGGAGTTCTCCTCCTCCATCTGCTTCAGTTGGTGCTCAGGCTCAGCTTCTGCCGGTTCTGCTCCTGCAGCAGCTCCTACTCCAAGAACGGGAGGGACACAGGGCTCAGGTGGTGCAGCATCAGAGCCTCACTGCTGCCAAACTCTTGGCGGGAGGGAGCTGCTGGTTCCCCTGCACCAGGGGACTGCCCGTGAAAAACGGGTGGGGAGCCGAGAGGCCCCAGAGTGCCCGTGGATGCAGGGGCGGGTGTGGAATGAGGGGAGACTTGAGACGGAACAGCCCGATGTCTGGCAAGTAATGCCACGTGGGCACCGCGTCCGCCCAGGAGAGGTCCAGCTGCAGAGCCCTGCTGCCGCCCTTACCTGCATGTCTGGAGTGGGTCTCCAGAGTGAAGTCCTCGGTGAGCTTGCTGCACTTGCTGTCAGACTGGGTGAGAAGACCCGTCTCATTGACCAGCTCGACCTGCACCGGGACCGGACAGACACAGGCCCAGGAGCTCGACCATGACCACTGGCCCCTCTGGGTGCTTTTAGGGTCAGCTGGACCTGAGTCACCAGCAGCTCCCAGAAGCCTCGCTGAGGAGACAGTGTGAAGCATGACAAAGAGCAGGAGTCCTAGAGACCTGGGCCAAAACCCAGGAGCTGCTGAAGTGTACACTGCTGGGCCTGGGTCCCAGCAGAGGCCTCACCGGCAGCTCGGTGACCCTGTTGGCCAGCGGCATGCGCACTCGCTCTCCCTCCTTGGCTGCACCTGCAGCTCCTTACCCCTAATGGACGATGTTACTGGGGTGGGCTGGGAAGCAGAGCTCTCCAGCATCTGAAGCCCCAGCCCGCTGCCTTGGGCCCATGAGGCGAAATGCCTGGCCAGGCTAGGGGCCCCGAGTGGGCTTGGCCGAGGTGGCCTTGTGTGAGAAGGCATGGCCTTGGGCCCAGAGTGAGCCTCCACCTGAGCAAGGACCAGGTGCCCCGGCTCATTGGCTCAGTGGTCTCTATGCAGAGCTTTCTTTAGTAAGAACTGACCTTATTAGTCACCACGCTCTATTCTTTAACCTGTTACTACCCAGTGAGACAAATGTCCTGCACTTCACTTGTCAGGCAAAGTCCAAGGTTGACTATAAGCTGTGATTCCAAGGACACAAACTTGTGACAACACATTAGCCCATGGTCAATGTTTCTGCTCAGGGGGAAGGGTATTGGGTAGAGCTTTCCTGGACTGGCAAAGTAGATTCTGAGGTTATGGTGCTAATACAGTTCAACTAGACTGTAGATTCTTTTTTTAAGTATGTTTTTGATTATGCTATTACAGTTGTCCCATTTTTTTCTCCCCTTTATTCCCTGCCACCCTGCACTCCCGTCCACCATCTTTCCCCCCCTCCCTTAGTTCCTGTCCATGGGTCATACATATAGTTCTTCGGCTTCTCCATTTCTATACAATTCTTAACCACCCCTGTCTATGTTGTGCTTACTATTTATGCTTCTTATTCCCTGTGCCTTTTCTTCCATCTCTGCCCCTCCCTCTGTCCTCTGATCTCCATTCTGTGATTCTGTTCCTGTTCTAGTTGTTCGCTTTGTTTGTTTGTTTGTCTTTTTAGTTTCAGTTGATGATAGCTGTGAGTTTGTTTTCATTTTACTATTCATAGTTATGATCTTCTACTTTTTCTTAGATAAGTCCCCTTAACATTTCATATAATAAGGTCTTGGTGTTGATGAGCTCCTTTAACTTGACCTTATCTGGGAAGAACTTTATCTCCCCTTCCATTCTAAAGGAGAGCTTTGCTGGATAGAGTAATCTTGGATGTAGGTCCTTGTCTTTCATGACTGTGAATACTTCTTTCCAGCCCCTTCTTCCCTGCAAGTTTCTTTTGAGAAATCAGCTGAGATTCTTATGAGAACTTCTTCGTAGCTAACTCACTTCTTTTCCCTTGTTGCTTTTTAGTTTCTTTCCTTATCTTTAAGCTTTGGCAATTTAATGATGATGTGTCTTGGTGTCTTCTTCTTTGGGTCTTACTTGTTTGGGACTCTCTGATCTTCCTGGACCTGTATTTCTAGTTCCTTCACCAGATTGGGGAGGTTTTCTTCCATTATTTGTTCAGATAAGTTTTCAATTTCTCGCTCTTCCTCTTCTCCTTCTGGCACCCCTATGATTCAGATGTTGGAACTTTCCTAAACTTCTCATTTTTTTTTTTTTTGACTTCTTGTTTCTTCATTCTGTTCTGGTTGAATGTTCATTTCTTCCTTTTGTTCCAAATTGTTGATTTGTGTCCCTTTTTCCTTCCTTTCACTGTTGGTTCCCTGTATAGTATATTTATTTCACTTTGTATAGGATCCACTTCTTCCTTTATTTTGTGTCTGTACTCAATCTTCTCCAAGCATCTCATCCCCAGTGTTTTGAACTCTGCATCCGATAGGTTGGCTATCTCCTCATCGCTTATTTCTTTTTCTGGAGTGATGGAGTTCTTTCAGATGGGCCATATTTCTTTGTCTTGGCTCCCCTGTTACGTTGTAAGGGGCTGAGCCTAAGGTATTCACCAGGGTTTGGCCGTCCGCTTCACCACGCTGTGGCCCTCTATGGGGATCAGGGGTCAGAGAGAGAACGATGACGCTTGCTCGGATATACCCCGCTTTCAGTCACTTCCCCTCACTTCCCACAAGTGAATTGCACCCTTTTTGGTCCTGCCCTGGTGCTTAATCCCAGGTGGTTGGGCTTACATACATTCTAGAACTACATGCACCCCTCCAATGGACTCTTAGACAGGAAATTCTTCAAAACCCTTTAGAGTCTTAAGTTTTACAGAAGTGAAAATGTTCAACAAAAAACATGAAGTAAAAAGTCAGCCTTGGACAAAAACACTAGCAGAACTATTTATGATCCTCTACATGCGGTTCTGACCTCTTCCTGGTGTGTGTTTCATGTCAGTCAGCGGAGGTGTGTGCTGAGCAGTGACACTTCCTGTAGCATAAGAGCAGCTGTTCTGCATGCTCACAGGATGAACAGAGTGATCTGGAAGACAGCACCCCTGCAGCAACAGTTCTGGTGCCTGACTCGCCATCCACCCAGATCACTCACATCTGGGAGCCGACACTGCCACGTCACCCTGCCTTGAGGATAGAGGAGAACAACCTGAAAGTGTCCCTCTCTGGAGGCCAACGCTGAGGTGAAGGACATAGCAATATCCAGGGAGAGGAGAACTCTTAAAGATGTATTCCTAGAAGGTGCTTTGAGGCATATTTTTCATGGGACTTTAATAGATGAAAAAGATCCACATAAAGAAAAACAAACATTTCTAAAAACTGTTGAAGGTCAAGATTCTAGAATTCAGGGGAGAATGATGCTCACAGAAAACTGGCAGCTCCAAGATCTTCATCGCAGGTATCTCCTCCCTGTTACCTATGTGCATATAGAAGGACAAAGACCCATGAGCATGCTGCCCAACAGGCAACAGGGTCGGGGGGATCTAAAAGTGTTTCTACTGCAGTGCCAATCAGCAGATGCCCGTCATCCTCAGACAGTTCCTCAACAGGCTGTGGTCCCCATGGTTATTCAGATGGCTGTGCACTGAGCTGGCTGGCCCGCAGGGAAGTCCCCCACAAACACCTGGCTGCCAGGGACTGGGTCATTGATGACACGTTCCAGGGAAAGATTGCAGACAACGCTCTCTCCAGAGACTTGTTTCCCATGGACTATCATGTCTCGGGGACAAGAAAAACAGGCCAGCTGGAAGGATGGCTCTGAAAAGCCTGGCTCATGATGAGTTTTCTGCACAAGTGATGTGCGAGTCTTTGGCATGACACTGTGGGAACTGATGTCACTGGGACAAATGTCCTGTGTGTGGACACTATCTCCCTTGAGATGACCACGTACCTGAGCGATGGTTTCTGAAGAGCCCTGCCTGTCGCTTGTCCTGATGAACTCTTGGCTGTGATGGCCTATTGCTGGGCCTCAGATCCCGAGGAGAAGCCCAGGTTCCAGCCCAAGGTTCAATGTCTCCCAGACTTCCCTGCAGCCCTGTGGACTAGGTGTGACTCTTCCCCTCACAGCCCCACAGCATCCAGGGGCAGGCACCCATCGGGCTCCCAGGGAGCCAGGCACAGACTCTTCCCCCATCAAGCCACGCCAGCAAAGCACAAAAATTTGTCTTCCAGAACGCCGAGCCTCAGGATTGCTTTAAGACTCTTAAGTCATTTAACCAGACTTAAATAAAACGTGGAATATTTTGTATATTTCCCTTTTATTAGGTTGAAAGTTTTTTAATCTATTTTTTGAGAGACTAGAAGGGAAGGAGAAAGAGAGGGAAAGGAACATCGACGTGAGACAGACATTGATCAGTTGCCCCCGGTAGGCACCCACAGAGGGGACTAAACCTGCAACCCAGGCCCCTGCCCAGACTGGAGCTCATCGAACCAGCGAAGTTTCGCTTTGTGGGGTGACACCCAACCAACTGAGCCACACCAGTGAGGGTGGCGAAAAATTTTAAAACATAGCTTCTTGGCCTAGGGTTACAGTCTTACAAAATAAATAAAGTTTTTAAATTCATTTAAACCATTGGAATAGCTATCTTTGGGCCAAGTACTTTATAGATTTTGACTTCATCAAGGTAACATAGGAGAGTCACCTTTAAATATTTTTAAAGTATTTATCACGAGTCCTGGGAATGTTTTGTCAAGATGCAGCGCTTTTTCGTAGGAAAAGAAGTGTAAATAGATGTGTGCTTTGCCTTGTACAGCAAAAGGCAATATTGGAGGGGGGACACTTAAGAGCTAGAAGATAAAGTAAATTTAAAAACACATAAAAAAATGCCCTTTTTAGGAATATGGATTCTTTTTTATTTTTCTAATGACAAGTTCTACATTTTTATTTTTGAGGAAATAGGAGTTGAGTTCTTTGAAACGTCTTGAATTCGGAGGAAACGAGCTTTTCCGAGAGCCAGAAGTGGCTTTTGGGCAGGTCAGTAGTCACGAATGACGATTGTATTTACTTCTACTCTCTGGAGAAGGCGATCTTACCATTTCAGGAAGTGAAACCATGTTTTGGAGTCTGAGGATCCCTCTCATCTCACCTAGAACAGCGCTGCGCACGCAGCAGGTGCTGGAGTTGTTGTAGCTAAAAAAGATAAACTGAGAATTTCGTGCTTATCTTCAAGGCCAGCTTAAGTAGAAAATGGTATTTCAAAACACTTTAAAAATGAAGGATTTGTTTTATATTAAAAAAAGAAAAAATACAAAAAGGAAAGGGAAAAAAAGAAGAAGAAAAAGAGCAGCGGTCCTGGAGAACTGGGCCACAGCTGAAGAGCGGCCACAGGGAGCACGGCCCAGACCCCGTCCCTGCGCGTTCTCTCTCCCTCCTTGAACTGCGCCTGCAGCGCCTGGAGCTGGGCCTCCACTCTCTTCCACCTGGGCTCTGAGTCCCCTTTGTCCTGCAGCAGGACCTTCACGTCATTGGCCAGCCGCCCTTGGTCATTCTCCAGGATCTTCGTGACCTTTATAAGTTCGGCTCTAACCTGGCAGGGAGGAAGCAAAGCTGTGAAGAGGGGCACCCGTGCCCTGTCGTGGAGCTGTTCTCTCCAGTGTTCCAGGAAGAACCACAGGGCTCAGATCCAGACGCTGCTGCCTCTGCAGCAAAAGGGATGTTGGCTAAGTCTGGGAGGCGCCTGCTGGCAAGAGTCCTGGTCTCAGAAGGCTCCCACCTGATCTGTCCTCATCACTCAAACGGGACTTGTCCTCCTCTCTAAGGGCCTCACAGTGGACAAGAACATGTCTGGACATCTGGCTGCAGAACTCAGTGGCCATGACCACACACTGTAAAAGACTGCCTAGAACCTGGGGACTGCATCCATATGTGCCTCATGTGTAACAACGAAGGGGACCCTCAGGGCAAAGGGTGGGAGGGACCCCTCCTCTCCTGGCCCCAAATCACAGCCGGAGGTGCTGATTACACACAGTCTCCTTTCACCCCAGGGAGCCTTGCTACTTAAGGAAGCCCTGCAGGGACTCCTTTCATAGGGAACCACCCCACTCATCCCTGGAGCTCCCCCAGTGTGTTTTGGTCCCCTCCCAATGCTGGCCCAGGGAGGCCCTGAGCTGTCCCTGCCAGCCAGGGGGCGGCGACCCCGAGAGCCCCATGGCCCCGTCCACCTCCTGCAGCTGAGCCATCTCAGCCTCCATGTTCTTCAGCTTCTTCTCGTTCTCCTTGGCCTGCGCCAGCGTCTCCTTGCGGAAGGTGTCAGTGTCCGCCAGCTGACACGTGAAGTCCTTCATCTGGGCCTGGGGGCGGGGAGGAGGCACTCGACACCACCACCCCGGGGCCACCCACAACTCCACCCCCCACCCCATCCCTGACCCTCCATCCGATCTCCCACACCTTCCCGGGACTAGCACAACACGAGCTTGTGGCTGCTTTTGACCCTGACTGCTGTTAACCAACTTAACTAAAAGGGAAAAATAGGAGCTAAGGCAAACTGTCTCTTTGAACTCCACCATTTGTACCCTTCTTCACCCTTAGGATCTACAAGCCCACTGTGGGCGTGTCTGTCACGGTGCGCATATCAGCCCCAGCTCAGTGGGTTCCACTCTGCAGCTCCCGGGGCACCGGGATCCCGCACTGCTGCACCGTCCCCTGCACATGGCGGCTCCCCCGCCAGGTCACCCCGACCGCAGCGCGGGACTCCTTTCCTGTGTTAGTCTCCTGCCATGTGTTCTAATTACAAAGATTTTGGTTAAGTAGCCTTTATGTTGTTTTCGATGTTTTGCATAAAATACCAAATTGAGACTCTGCCTGTCAAAGGGTGAGACTCCTGCTGGGGTCAGCCAGACGGGGCCGGGAAAATATAACCAGCCAGCAGCACATCTGTGCTTCGTACCGCACTAACAACAGACGTTTAAATTTATTTTAGTTGGCTGCTGAAATGCTGGGTATGATGTGGCAACTCAGAGATCTTTTAATTTTTATTCTCTACTTAGAAAACAGGTAAAAATTCCCCAAGTTTGTTTCCCCTTTCCAGCAGCACCTCTCACCCTTCCACTCTAACCTTCCATTGTCCATTAGGCGGCATGGGGTGACCTGGAAGCCATATCAGGTTGATTCTGAAAATGTGCTATGAAGTGACTACCTCCCCCAACTCCATTGAACCACTAGATGTAGACGTTTCACTCTTTAATGTACTTAAAGGCGTATCTTCCTGCAAGTTTCCTCTCAGACTATTTCTCCAACTCAGCCTCTGGGCCTGAGTCTCCATCTGTGAGACAGGCTAAGGGCACCAAGACTGCCCCCAGCTAAGATGGGCAGCAATGCCGGCACTCGCTGGCCACCCCATTAGTGTCCAGCCACACACTGAGCCCAGCGCCACCGAGTGCGGTCGAATCTGGTTTGGTCCAGCCTGACCCCACCTGCAGCTTCCAAAGCTCTTGGATGGCTTCATCACGGTCATTGCTGGCCGAGGCAATGTGGGCCTCCTGGTCCTTCAGGTCCACCTCCTGCTTCTTCAGAGCGGCCGCTGCCATTGAGCGCTGCTTCCTCTCGTCTTCCAGCTCTGCCTCCATCTCCCGCACCTGGGGAGACGCCGACAGCTCGGGAGGCCGGGTCCACACACAGACCCTGCTCCAGCTCGGAGCCCAGGGGGCTGAGCCCATGTCTGTGGGATCTGTGGGACCTCCCATGGCCAATGCGAATAACTGAACAGAAAAAACACTCGTAGAGCCACGGACTCCTCCGCACTTCCTAAGGACAGAGGACTTGAAAAAAATCATTGACAAGCCCTTGCCAATCCAGGTGGAGCAAGGAGAGAAAGGAACCCTGCCAGAAATGTGGGTGGTCCCAGACCAGGGGGAGCAGGAGGGGCATACGCACCTGTCTGACCAGCTGCTTCTGCTTCTCACTCTGCTGGTCCCGGCCCTGCAGGTCTCGCTCAAATTGGGTCTTCATGGCCTGCAGGTTCACCTCCAGTCGCTGCCTGGCCTCTTCAGTGGCCTGAAGCTCGTCCTCCAGCTCCTCAAGCTGGGTCTTCATATCTTTCACCTGTGGCTCCAGGGCCCGCTTAGACTTCTTCAGATCATGGACCTGCCACACAAGGGAACCCAAGTCGTGAACTGAGGGACAAGCAGTCCCTGAGGTCCCTGCCTCAGTGTCTGCTCACTCACTAGTCCTCTGGACTGTCCCCATCAGTCCTCCCGGGACTCACAGTCTTGCTCACATCATCCTTAGAGCTCGTGAGACTCTCCACCTGTGTGCAGAACTGCTTGTTTAAACATTCCAGCTCTGCCTTCTGCTCTATGCCCTCCTCCAGGCCCCAGGCCAGTGCCAGTGCCTTGGTCCCATTCTCACAGGCTTCCGTATCAGCCCGGTCGTGCTCCACCACCTACTTGGCAGAGATGATCTTCTCCTCAGCCAAGAGCTGGGAAAGATATGGGAGCCATGAGGCATATGCAACGAACTCTTAGCAGGAGCTCAGGACCTGCTGACCATCCAGGCCCAGATTCCTGGAGGAATGCAGGGCCCGCGGCTGGGTCAGAGGGGTGGGGACCAAGAAGGGCAGGCACCGGGCTGCTACCTGGGGAACCCAGCTGGTTCCAAGGGTGCTCAGTATGTCCTTGTACTCGGATGAGGGTAGAGATCATCTCTGCCACCGGGCTTTAAAGTCTTTCCTTTTTAGGGACTTCTGGCCAAGACAGAGGCGTAGGTAGATACACTTTGCCTCCTCACACAACCAAGAAAAGGACAAGAACAAATTTAAAAAGAAAAAATAACCAGAACTGCCTGAAAATCAAATTGTATCAAGTTCAACAACCAGGGAGTTAAAGAAGAAACATTCATCCAGATGGGTAGGAGGGGTGGAGACGGGCAGTCAGGGTGAAGAGGACGTGAGGTAAGGTGGCAGATGGAGGACCCAGTGGTCCCCCATTTGTGTGTGGATAAACTGTGAAGAACAGTTGGGGAACAGAAAGACCGTGCAACCCAGGGTTCCAGCGTGGGAAAAAGGGAGCCTCAAAACCTCTGGCTGTAAAAGCCTGTGAGGATTGTGGTAGCAGGAGAAACTCTCAGACTCACAGGAGAGTCCATTGGAGAGACCCATACAAACCCACCCACCCGGGAATCAGCACTAGGAAGAGCCCAATTTGCTTGTGGGTAGCAGGGGAAATGACCGAAAGCTGCTGAGAGCTGAGCAAGCAGCATTGTTCCCTCTCAGACCCCGCCACCACACACAGCGTCACAGTGCAGCAACCTGGGTTGCCCCATCCTGGTGAATACCTAAGGTTCTGCCAATTCCAATGTAACAGGGACACAGAGACAAAGAAGTATGGACCAAATGAAAGAACACATCAAAGCTCCAAAAATAAAACTAAGTGATGAACAGAGCATCAACCGATCAGATGCAGAGTTCAAAACACTGGTAATCTGGATGTTCAATGAATTGGTTTAGGATGGTCACAAAATGGAGGGGAAAGTGAAGGCTACACAAAGTGCAGTAAAGAGAAATATACAGGGAGCCAACAGTGAAGGGAAGGAAACCAGGACTCGGATCAATGATTTGGAGCAGAAGGAAGAGATAAATATTCAACCAGACAAGAATGTAGAAACAAGAATCCAAAAAAATGAGGAGAGGCTTAGGAAACTCTGGGACAACTTTCAAAGTTCCAACATCCAAATCACAGGGGTTCCAGAAGGAGAAGAGGACAAGCAAGAAATTAAAAACTTATTTGAAAAAATGATGAAGTAGAACATCTCCAATCTGGCCAAGGAAATCGACTTCCAGGGGATCCAAGAAGGTCAAAGAGTCCCAAAGAAGTTGGACCCAAGGAAGCACACACCAAAACACATCATAATTACATTACCCAAGATTAAAGATAAGGAGAGAATCTTAAAAGCAGCAAGAGAAAAGGGGACAGTTACTACAAAGGAGTTCCCATGAGACTGTCAGCTGATTTCTCAAAATAAACTGCAGACAAGGAGGGACTGGCAAGAAGTATTCAAAGTCACGAAAGACAAGGACCTACATCCAAGATTACTCTATCCAGCAAAGCTCTCCTTTAGAATGGAAGGGCAGATAAAGTGCTTCCCAGATACGTTAAGTTAAAGGAGTTCATCATCACCAAGCCCTTATTGTATGAAATGTTAAAGGCACTTATCTAAGAAAAAGAAGATCAAAAACTATGAACAGTAAAATGACAACAAACAACTATCAACAACTGAACCTAAAAACAAAAACAAAAACTAAGCGAACAACTAGAACAGGAACAGAATCATAGAAATGGAGATCAGAAGGGAGGGGGAAGGGGAAGAATGAGGAGAAAGGTACAGGTAATAATCAGCATAAATAGTAGGTACAAAACAGGCAGGGGGAGGTTCAGAATAGTATAGGAAATGGAGAAGCCAAACAATTTATATGTATGACCCACAGTCACGAACTAAGCGAGGGAGGAATGTTGGTGTGAGGTGGAGGGAAATAAAGGGGAGAAAAAAAATGGGACAACTGTAAAAGCAAAATCAATAAAATACATATAAAAAATAAAATAAAATAAATAATTTAAAACTAGAAGAAATAGAAAGTGGAAATCTTGCTTCTAAACCTATCCTATGAAGACTTTCTGATGTGGCACTTCCTTGCCAGGCCCCTCAACGAGCAGAAAATCCAGCAAGACATCCGAGCACCTGCTGGTAGAGATGGGATCCCAGGGCCCGCTCCATGTCAGTGGCCTTGGCCTGGGGCCACGGTGCTGGAAGAGAGGAGATGAGGAGGAGCGTGCCCGTGGCGCACACCTGGTCAAACTTCTGCTTCTCCAGGTTGATGAGGCTCTGCCGCTGGTGGTCCAGCTCCTGCTGCAGCTGTGTCTTGGCCTTCTCCAGCTTGTTGTAGGCAGCTGCCTTCTCCTCATAGCGCTGGCTCAGCCCCTCCAGGTCCTCCTGCAGCCTCCTCTTGGCTTCTTCGGCAGCCTCCAGGTACCCCATGCCGTCCAGCACCTTCTTCTGCATTTCGCTCACCTGGCCAGGAGCAAGGGAAGAAGGGACACCCACGATGGCCCCTGCTCAGGGAATACACCTGTGCCCGAGGCAGCTGGGAGCTGGCCTGCTCCACATGAACAGAGACCAGGAGCCAACCCAGGTGTGGAGAGTTCCCCCTTCCAACCGTCTAGAGAGACAAGCTTTGTGCCGAGGGTGTCTGTGCAGTCCATGGAGCCGAGGTGCAAGTCAGCCCTGGAGGGCCTCTCCCCTGGGACCCGCTCCAGGCTTCTCGTTTACAAAGACCAAGGCCCAGGTGGCGCATCCTCCAGTTACCTGGCCCCAGGCAGCAGGGCTGGTGTCCTCTGGGGAGTTTGTTGCTGGGGGCAAGAGGGGGCAGCACCTGTCATGCAGCCTCCTCCTTGCACCTGGACAGAAAGCCACCACCACCCGCACGTGCTGGCTGCTCCTACCCAGGCCACGGACTAGACTGTGAGCCGTCCTGAGTTTAGGGCAGATTTGGCCTGGCGCATTTAAGTCCCAAGACAGGATCTAGGACCGGACTCTTGGTCTAGGGCATGAATCCTTTGACACTCCAGAGCAGCCTATGACTCCTAATCATAATGTTGTGATACACAAAACATAGGATTATCAAGAAAATCAATATGGAAAAATGTGGTCGTCAGATATGACACATAACTGGTGCAATAACCCATGTGCTTCTCCATTAGCACATCAGAGAGCAGCCTCCTGAAGTGCAAGGAGCACAGTGACATCCCCAAAGCCCTGCCGTGTCTGGGGCTTGGTGGCTGATAGTTTCTAGTGAACAGAACGACAGGCACTGTAATTGCCACGGCTTGTTGTCTACACTCATCAAGAAGGAAATGCTACACGTAGCTGGACACTTGTGAAAGAAAGCATGTTCAGTTGCCTCCCTCCTTGTTCACAGATCCCTGAATTCTCCCCGGGGACCCAGGGCTAGGAGCCCTGGGCTGGAAAGGACAGGATCTCCCTGAGCTGGAACGTCCAGCTCAGGCTGGCCAGGGCAGACCCAGCCTGCAGAATCCGACCAGTGGCCCTGGGCCACCTGGCAGCCCAGGGGTCTTGAGGAGCAGGTAGCACCAAACCTGGGCACGCAGGGTGGCCGTCTGCTTCTCCAGGTTGTGCTTGGCCTCCTCCTCCTCCTCCAGCTGCTCCTTTAGGGACTTCTTCTCCTCTTGCACCTGCTTCAGCTTGGTGCTCAAGCTCAGCTTCTGCTGGTTCTGCTCCCGCAGCAGCTCCTACTCCAAGCATGAGAGGGGTCTAGGGCTTGGGAGGTGCAGCGTCAGAGCCTCGCTGTTCCCACACCCTTGGCAGGAGGGAACAGCTGGTCCTTCTGACTTAGGTCAGAGCCAGTGGAGAGCTGGTGGGGAGCCAGGAGGACCCAGAGTCCCCATGGATGCAGGGGAGGATGTATAATCAGAGGAGCCCTGGGACAGAACACTCAATAGGTCTGGCAGGTGATGCCACATGGGCACCGCGTCCTCCCAGGAGAGGTCCCGCTGCAGAGCCCTGCTGCCCTTACCTGCATGACCTGCAGCTGGGACTCCAGAGTGGAGAAGTCCTTGGTGAGCTTGCTGCACTTGCTCTCAGACTGGGTGAGAAGACCCATCACATTGTCCAGCTTGAGCTGCACAGGGACAGAACAGACAAAGGTCCAGGAGCTCAACCATAACCGCTCTGGCCCCACCTGGCTGCTCTGAGGTTAAGCTGGACCTGAGTCACAGGCAGCGCCCAGACGCCTCACTGAGGAGACAGAGCGAAGCCTGACAAAGAGCGGGAGTCCTAGAGAACTGGCCCAAGACCAAGGAGCCACTGACTGGGCCACTGTCAGGTCCATTGCCCTGGCCTGGGTCCCACCAGAGGCCTCACCTGCAGCTTGGTGACTTTGTCGGCCAACTGTGTGCGCTCTCGCTCTCTCTCTCTGAACTGCGCCTGCAGCGCCTGTAGCTGGGCCTCCACTTTCTTCATCTTGTGCTCTGAGTCCCTTTTGATCTGCTGCAGAATTTTCATGTCTTTGGCCAGCTTCCCTCGCTCAGTCTCCAGGGCCTGCTTGGCCTGCTCCAGGCTGGCTTTGACCTGGTAGGGAAGAAGCAAAGCTGTGAAGAGGGGCACACATGCCCTGCCGGGGAGCTGGTCTCTCCAGGGTCCCAGGAAGGACCATAGGACTCAGATCCAGACGCTGCTGCCTCTGTGTGAAAAGGATGTTGGGGAAGTCTGAGAGGTGGCCCGCTTGCAACACTCCTGGTGTCAGAGGGCTCCCACCTGATCTGTCCTTGTCACTCAAGTAGTCGGGACACCCAGCAAGGGTCCTCCTCTCTGAGGGCCTCAGAGCGAATGAGAACATACCTGGGTGTTGGCTGAAGGAAAAGAAAACTCTGTAGCCATAACCACACACTGTAGAAGACTGCCTACATCCTGGAGACTGCTTCCATGTGAGCCTCATGTGTGACAGGCAAGGGGACAGTCAGGGCACAAGGGTCTGGGAGGGACCCCTTTTCTCCAGGCCACAATTCACAGCAGGAAGTGGTGATTACACAGTTTCCTTTCACACCAGGAAGACTTGCTACTTAATGATGCCCTGCAGGGACTCCTTTCACAGAGAACAACTTCCAGTCCCCCGTGAAGCTCCCCCACTTTGTTTTCAACCCTGCCCAATGCTGCCTCGTGGGGGCCCTGCGCTGCCCTGTGGGTCAGAGGGCAGTGCCCCCAAGAGCCCTTTGGCCTCATCCACCTCCTGCAGCTGAATCGTCTCGGCCTCCATGCTCTTCAGCTTCTTCTCATTCTCCTTGGCCTGCATCAGGATGTCCTCGCGGGAGGCGCGCGCGTCCTCTACCTCGCGCAGGTAGTCCTTCATCTGGGCCTTGGGGTGGGGAAGAGACACTTGGCACAACTGCCCCAGCGGCCACCCTGGTTTCACCTGCCCCACCAGCCACCCTCCACACCCTCCACGGACAGTCCAGAACAGGAGCTTATGGCTGCTTTTCACCCGGACACCACCGTTAACCAGCTTAAAGAAGAGGGCAAAATAGTAGTTGAAGCAAAATATCTCTTTGGTCTCCACTATTTGTGCATTTATTGACCCTTAGGATCTATAGCCCACTCTGGATATGTTTGTCACGGTGCACATATAAGCTCCAGCTGCGTGGGTTCCACTCTCTGCAGCTCCCTGGGCACCGGGATCCCGCGCTGCTGCACCGTGCCCAGCACACGGCTGCTCCCCTGCCAGGTCACCCCGACCACAGGGAGGGACTCCTTCCCCCTGCTAGTCTTCTGTGCCATGTTTTAACTGAAAAGGTTTCATCAAGGAGCCTTTTTGTTGTTTTACATAAAATACCACTTTTGGACTGCCCATGTCAAAGCGTGATACTCTTGTTGAATTCAGCCAGATTGTGCTAGAAGAACACACCCAAACAGCAGGTCATCTGTGTCCTGTATCTTAGTAACAACAGACATTTAAATTTATTTTTGTAACTGCTGATTTGCAGTGTACAACGTGACAACTAAGAGATCTTTTAATTTTTATTGTTCAATTACAAAGGAAGTAAACATTTCCCCAGTTTCTATCCTCACTCCAGTAGCTCTTCTGAACCTTCAGCCCTAACCTTCCATCATCATCCATTAGGCTGCACAGGGTCACCCAGGTATAAAACAGGTTTATTCTGAAAATGTGCCGCAAAGTGACTACCTCCCCCAGCTCCACTGCAAAGCTGGTGTAGACATTCTGCGTTTTAATGCAAAGGCATAGGTCGTCCTGCAGCTTTGCTCTCAGACTGTTTTCCCCTCAGCTCCTGGGCCTGAGTCTCCATCTGTGAGACGGGCTGAGGGCACCAAGCCCTTTCCCGGCGAGGGGAGGGCAGCAATCGCCAGCGTTCACTGGCTACCCCATTAGTGTCCCGGCCTCACGCTGAGCCCAGTGCCACCGAGTGCGGCCAGATCTGGTTTGGTCCGGCCTGACCTCACCTGCAGCTTCTGAAGCTGTTTGATGGCTTCGTTACGATTCTTGTTGGCCGAGACAATGTGGGCCTCCAGGTCCTTCAGGTCCATCTCCAGCTTCTTCCGAGTGGCCTGCGCCATTGAGCGCTGCTTCCTCTCGTCTTCCAGCTCTGCCTCCATCTCCCGCACCTGGGGAGACGCCGACAGCTCAGGAGGCCGGATCCACACACAGACCCTGCTCCAGCTCGGAGGGACTTTGGCCCAGTTCTGTGGAATCTGTGGGGTCCACCGTGGCCAATGCGAATCACTGAACAGAAAACCCCTGAGAGAGCCACTGACTCCCTTGCCTTTCCTGAGGACGGAAGACTGGAAGAACTGGTCAAGGAGCCCTGGACAATCCAGGTAGAGGAAGGAGAGAAAGGAAGCCTGCTGAAAACATAGGCGGTCCCGGTCCAGGGGGAGCGGTAGGGACATACTTACCATTCTAACCAGCTGCCTGTTCTCCTCACTCTGCTTGTTGTGGCCCTGTAGGTCTTGTTCAAGCTGGAACTTCATGGCCTGCAGGTTCACCTCTAGTTGCAGGTTGGCATCCTTGGTGTACTGAAGCTCACCCTCCAGCTCCTTGAGCTGGGTCTTCATCACTTGCACCAGCTTCTCCAGAGCCTGCTTACAGTTTTCCAGCTCCTGTACCTGCACCCGAGATCCCCAAAGTCCCTGACTCAGTGTCTGCATACCCACTAGTCCTCTGTACCATCCCTATCCATCCCTCCTGATACTCACACTCTTGCTTACTTCGCCCTTGCACCACAGGAAATCCTGCAGAATCTTGTGAGTGCAGCTGAGTAACTTCAGCCTCCTCTCCAGCCCGTAGGCCTGCTGCCTCAACTCTTTAGCCGACCGTGACTTTGACCCCACATGCAAGTGCTTTGACTCCTTCACAATGCTGATCACATCCGCCATAAGATCACTTGCATAGGCCAAAACAAAGACCCTGGCCTTTTTGGTCATTGCCAGAACAGTGCCCCCAAAAGCTTTCTGTACCTGCTGGCTGCTTTGGGTTGAGATATTCCCTGTGGTCATTAAAACCTTGGCTTTTGCTCCTAAGAGAGGGTTGGCTTTGGCCACATTGCAGGCATGGACATCCTTCACAATGCCTTCCAGGGATCGGATGCACTTTGTTAAGGAAGCAACCTGGGGCGAGCTGTGACGTAGACCCTCCAAGACCACCTCCTCATTGCTGATGGCAGCTGATGCTAGATGACTGGCTTTGCCTTTTGCCGACTTGTTCTTTGCATGTTTCACGATGCTGGCAGACACTCTGGTCACAGCAGCTGATACTCCCACGCCTGCCCCAGCGGGAAACACCAGGCTGGCCCCTGCTGTCACGGGTGCCAGGGACAGGCCGACAGTGCTCAGAATGCCAGACACAGCACTGGTAGAACTGGCCACCACGTTGGAGATGGAACAGTCCCTGTGCACCTTGTCAACCTTGTCTGCCAGTGTGTAGACCTCTGCTATGCACTCCTCCAGCTTCTGTTTCACATGATGAAACTCCAACAGAATCATCGCCCTAAGCAGCTGGTCGTATGATGGCATGTCTTTGTCCCCCATGGCCATCAGTCTTTTCAGCTGATTCAAGTCTTCATATAGTGCATCTGCCACACCCCTGTAATAATGAAGGTCAGTTGTTAGAAAGGCAGTTTGCTTATCTGTAAATTGTCTCAATAAGATCCATCTTGCATAATTACAGAACTTTGACTATAAATCAAATGGAAAGAATTTGACAAGTGAAAAGATTTTTCTTTCAACATTAAACACATACTTTGTCCCTTGTAGATTCTTCAGGGCATTTATTCAATCAGGGAATAATTAGGGAAAGTCCTCCTAGGATGCTCTGCAGTGGCAAGTATATGATGAAGACAGCTTCTCACTCAAGGGCAGGTCAACTCCATCACCACTAACGCGTTTGTGGACTAGAAACTCCAAGGCTGAACAAGGAAGAGCCAGGAAGGAGCCAAACACCCCCACTCTGAGAGCCCTAGAGTGAGGTGCAGGTGGAACGTGACCACAGGGAGGGCTGCCCTTTGCCTGAGACACGGGGACATGACTCTGCGTCCCTAGAATGTCCTGACTGATAGGAGCCTAGCATGTGGCCACTGGACATTCTGACAAGGAGACGTAAATGGAGATTTTGCATCACATGATATCAGCTCTGGTCTAAGGAGGAACTAGAACTCAAGACACTCATTAATACTCCACGAGCACTGGAGACTCAGGCCAGCCATGCGGGCAGCACGTCACTGAGCCCCAGTCACCCTCTGTGCACTGAGGCTCGGGGTGAGAGAGACTCTTTGCCAAATGTACATGAGGCTCTTCTGAGCCCTCTTCTCAACTAGGCCTTGACCTTGGCCTTCCGTGTTTTGTCCTTGACAGCCTGTCTTTTCCATTCTTAGCAAGAATCCTGCTAAGTCAGTTTAGCCACAGCCCACCAGTTTTGATGTCTGATATCCTGCAATATCTGATCGATTCCCCTTCCCCCAACTCTGGTGCCTACGTCCTTGACCTGCCTTCAGCAAGGACCCTGTTAGGTGAGCTTTGCCAGAATCCCCCGGCCCATGACAGCTCCTCTTACTAATTTTCCACCCACGGTCCCCCCACCCTGCTCTGTGGCTCTCAGTCCCCGGCTGTCTTTGCTGTGTTCAGAGTTGAGCCCAGTCCATCTTCTCTATTATGAGAGCCTGGACTGCAATTGCAGTCGTCCTGGATAAGAGCTTCCTTACCATCTGAACAGTGTTGGAGTAATAGTTTCGACTGCATGGTAGCTTCCCTGGTTGGCAGTGCTTCCTGTGCATTGTCACAAGTAGAATACAGGACAGTGATGTGTCCTGAGGACAGTGGAAGGCTGAGGACACTTCAGACCCTCCCAGACTCTGCCCCAGGCATCTCTGCCTGTGGCTGGCTGTGACCTGTGTCCTCCCCTGTCACAAACTGTGGCTGTGGCTGGGACAGCTGTCAGTGAGAGCTGTGAGTCCTTCTAGGAGACTATGGACCCTGAGGTGGTGCCAAAAGGAAGGGCAGCGCTGGGGATTGTGCCCTCACATTTGTATTATCACAATTCTGGGAACTTGGAATTAAACAGCCAGAACTCACAGCTAGAAGGGAACTTACTGGTCATTGTGCCTGACACCTGCTGTCTGCCAGGACACAGTCACCCATGCTGCTACTCCCAGCAGTGAGGGGACCAAATATGGGAGGGAGGAAATGTCCCCTCCTACACACAGGACAACCACTAGGCCCCGGCCTCTTCAGTGTGTGCCCGACGTGCTCAGTGGCCTCCCTCTAGTCCCAGCCCCACCGCCATGTCTTCCTACTGGTCCTCCACCCTGGACCCACCCTCACTCCTTCCTCACATCTGGCTCTGAGCCTGGTCTAGGCCCCCTGGGCCTCTGGACAGGATGATGGCACTTGCTCCCTCACCCTTGACCCCTCAGTGCCTTCACCATAATCCTATCAGATGACCTACTGTCCCATTGGAGAGAGAGATGACAAATCATCACTGAAGGGAGGGACTTTAGACATAAACCCAGAGCCCCAGAGCTGGGCAGATATAGAGTCAGGATCAACCGATGTGGTCCAGCTCCATCCAGCCTCTCCGCCTTCTGGGCCAACAGGACCCTGCACTGTTTGGTACAGGCCCTTACTTAGGGAGAGCGAGCCCGCTAGCCAAATCCCCAGGACACCAAATGTACCAGGGTGTTTCTGGCTTGTTCCCAAGTAAGTTCTGCTTGGCTCTCATCTCCAGGAGGAAGACTCTTGGCCCCTGTGTTTCCCCAACAATCTTTTTAAAAGTTCATTAAAACTGAGCACCTACTATGTGTCAGCCATTAGGCTAAACAATTTACATGCATTATCTTGCTTTCCTCATAATAAAATCATACAGGTGAATAAGACGATGAGTCATTAAGCAACTTTCTCCCATGGGGTTTCCTCTCTTCTCAACCTGAGGCCATTCACTGACAAGGAATGACATGAAGGAAGTCTTCCTCATGGCTTGTTGAGAAGAAACATATTCAACGCCAAGCACAGCATCCTGCCTGGAGGAGGTGTGCCTGGCAGAGTCAGCTAGATCAGGCAGCAGATCTGGGTGACAGTACAGGCGATTCCCGGAGGTCACCTGGGCCATTTGGCTGCAGCCACAAATCTCTCCCAGGCGTCACGGCTCAGCAGGTGCTGCAGTTTCTCTACATTCAGTGGGTCCAATAAAAACTCAATGGCAGGAAGAAAGCCTTCACTCTCTAGATGGAAGGAAAAAAGAATAAGGTGAGAAGAAATTATGGTATTTCTTGTATGTGGCATTGAGTATAAATAAGGTGGTTAAATGTTTATCTTCCTGAGCAGCTGTCACCTCAGGTACTTTTGATGGTTCACCTGGTGTTATGGCCTGAACCGTGTTCCCAGAAGTCCATACGATCAAGCCTTAACCCCCACCTTGTGAGTGTATTTTGAAATTACCTTTAAGGAGGTAGTTAAGGTTAAATGAGGTCATGTGGGTAGGGCCCTAAACTGATGTCACTGGTGTCCTTATGGGAAGATGGAGAGACACCAGTTCTCTCCGTCTCTGTCTCTGTCTCTGTCCCCCACTCCCGCCTCCATGCACAGAGGCAAAGCCATGGGAGGACAGGGCAGGAGAGCAGCCGTCTGCACACCAGGAAGAGGGGTCTCGCCAGCAGCAGCCCTGCCAGCTCCTCGACCTGGGACTTCCGGCCTCCAGGACCAATGATCTAATTCCTGGGATACGATGTGTTTAGGAATTTAGAATTGTTAGGTTTTTAGAAAGAGAGCCCAGGGCACACGGGGTATGTTACCTACCACCCAGCAGGGCCTGGGCAGCACCCTGTAAACAACTGCACTCCTGCTTCGACAGGGAAACAAGTGAATATTCACCTTAAATGGGAGAAATCATGTAACGACTGTAAACAGTTTCCAGTCAGCGCAGAGCACGATGACTGCCCTGGTGAGGTGCCAAAGAACGTGTGGCTCTCAGGGACTTGGAGGCTGTGGAGCGGCAGCTGAGAGACTGGGGATGGGTGTGTATATTGTGCGTGCAGACATGAGGTAGAATGGGTTTCCTGCTCTATACATGCAAGAGATACTGTTCTCATTCCACAGAAAAAGAAACGCAAACTGAGGGTAGGCGACGGCCCAAAGCCAGCAAGAAGGAAGCTCAGAGGTTGAATCCAAGGTCAATGCCAGACATTTCTTTACATGAATTTGCTGCCTCCTTATGTTTTCAAAAGTCATGTGATTTCTGCATCCCACTCTGTAGTATAACCGGGGTGCATTCTTTTAAATTTAAAGATATTTCAGAACATGCACCGCTGATTTCAGTAGCAACGATTCCTCCTGCTACTCACAGATGCCCCAAGATGGGCAGTGGAGGGGATGTCTTTTCTTTTAAAACATTTTATTCACTTAATTTTAGAGAGGGTGGAAGGGAGGCAGAAAGAAATTAAGGTTTCTCTAAAAAAATTAATCGGTTGCCTCTCGCACACAACGGGACCAGGTGCCGATTCCGCAACCCATGCGTGTGCCCTGACAGGGAATTGGACCTCTGACCTTTGACTTTGCGAGAACCCCCAACCCGCTAAGCCGCACTGGTCAGAGCTGGAGGGGCGTATGTGGGCAGGTGTCGTATTGGACCCTCAGCTCTAATCCTGTGACCAATCAAATCACCGCTCCCCTCCAGGCAGGGCTCAGGGGCCACAGCTCCCCATGGGCACCCCAGGCGCGCCCATTTCTTAAAGGAGTGGTCACCTTATTTCTCCTCAGGAAGCCCCCGCTCCAGCCCTCCCTCAGGGGTCCCAGGCCGGCTCAGTGGCTCCTGGCTTCTGGTCCTTCCCCCTCCCTTATTCTGTGACATGAACAAGAATTTTGTTCTCCTGGGAGCCTCCTGGGAGGGTGTTTAGTTGCCAAGGCCAGGCAGTGCTGACCTGGCTGGGTGGAGGGTTCTTTTTCCTTTTTCTGGTTCATTCACAGGGGAGAAAGGAAAGCAGGGCTCAGATGGAGGGAACCCCGACCCCTCAACCTGTGTATTTCCGGATTGGGGTGTGGTAGGCGGGGGGACTAACGATGCTGGCCTGTGTGGGCACATTTGACCCATATGAGCAAGTCCTGCCTGAGACACTCGCACCTGGTAAGCAGGCGTTTCTAATTGGGAGCAGGGGCCAGGCCCCCACACCGCTGTGCAGGTGCAGGCGCTGCAGACAGGGAAGGCTTCCACCGGGGGGACAGCGGAGCCCGGCGAGGGGGGCCAAGAGACTCCTGTCGCCGCGTGGGCTGTCCTGGCCTCCCCGGGGGCACGGGGGGGGTGGGAGGGGAAGGGAGGCAGTGAGCACCCTGAGGAGAGACCCAGGGAGGGGCCCCCCCCCCGAGACTCCGCGTTGAGGGAAACTCCCTCAGCCTCCCTGGGGACTCTGGGACCCTGAGCAGCCGCCTGCAGGACCTTGATTTCCGTGCAGTTTCTGAGCCTGGAGGCGCCTCCCTCAACTCCAGGCCATGAGTAGGGACCAGCCAGGGGAGAGGAAGCCGACTACCTGGGTCGACCTTGCCAGCTTCTGAGGCCATGGTGTCAGCGGTGGGCTCTCGGAGCTTCCCCTTCAGCTCGCCGTCTGTGCGCGGCCGGGAGGAGGCGCTGCTTCACCCCTGGGGGAGAGGGAACAAACAGTGGGTGGAAGGTGAGCCCGCTGTGGCCACGGGGAGCAGCGAGGGCCCGGGTGTCTGGCGGTTCCCTCCGGAAGGGACGCACGTGCCCTGCGGACCGAGCCCACGTGCTTCTCTGCCTGCTGGGCTCTGCCCGCTGCCCTTTCAGAGAAGCCACTCACCTCAGGCAGCTTGTCTCCGGCTGCCCTGCTGGGGCACAAGGAGAAGACACCAGACGAGGAGACAGACATCTGAGGAGTAGTGAAACCGAAGAAGCAAGAAAACCAAACGCAGAAAACGAGCCGGGAAGGAACGTTTTGGAGATGACTTCACTTCGGGAACGATTGTGTTACTAATCGACAAAGCTAACGTTGACCGTGATCTATGGCCGGGCTCCTTCCCAGTCCCTCATCAAGGACATGCAGGCATTTCATGGGGTGGGTGCCACGGGGGCTCCCGTTTGACAGGGAGGGAACCACCACGAAGTCCAGGTTTTCAGGGCAGCGCTGGAGCCGGCACTCGAACCCAAGTCGTCTGACCTGGATCCCTTGTATGTGAGGACTGTGCTCTACTCTCTTTAATATACAGATATTCATTAGTGTGCATACGTGTACTTGTCAGTGAGTCATCTCGTTCCAATACACTCATGCGCCCTATGCCCACGTCTCTGCCTTGGTGCTGTCGCTTCCCAAAGCCTGCGCCCTCCTTGCTTCTCCAAGGTCCCTGTCCCCTAGAGACCCGGGGTCCTGCCACCCCAGCCCACCCCTGAGGCCTGCTGTCGGCAGCCGAGCCCTCCTGAGGGAGCCCGGTCCCCTCCGCTGTCCTCCCCCAGCTTCTGGGCCTTTGTGTCTAATTCTTGATAGAAAACATGCAAAGACATTCTTCTTGCATAAAACTTTACCTGCATTTAAGGTTGTTCCCTTTAAGATATTTCTAAAAGGAGAATGACTGAGTCCGAGCGTATCAATGTATAAAACTTCATTCATATCTATGGCCACACTTTCGTGCAAATAAATTGTACCAATTTGCATTTATTCTCACAGGACAGGAGGGTGTCTTTCTCTTCTACCTTCACTTCTCAGTTGTCTTTTTTAATTAAAAAGTTCTTTCTAATTAAAATTTTTTCTTTTGTTTTAGCTAAAAATGGAACTGCCTTTTGACCCTGTGATTCTACTGCTGGAATTACACCCTAAGAATCCAAAACACCAATTTAAAACAACCTATGCACCCCAATGTTCATAGCAGCACCATTTACAATAGCCAAGTGCTGGAAACAACCTAAGTGCCCATTAATGAATGACTGGATGGAAAAAACTATGGTCCATTTACACAACGGAATACTATGCAGCAGAAAGAAAGAGCTACTCCCCTTCGTGACAGCGTGGATGGAACTGGGGAGCACTATGCTAAGCAAAATAAGCCAGGGGGTGAAAGACAAATACCATATGAGCTCACCTCTAAGTGGAACCTAATCCACAAAACAAACAAGCAAGAAAAATATAACCAGCAACACTGATAGAAAGAACAAACCGACAGTCACGAGAGGGAAGGAGGGATGGAGGCAGTAGAGAAAAGAAGGGGAAGGGTCAAGTCCAGGAGCCTGTAGGAAGGACCCAGGGACAAGCCAAAGAGGGGAGGGTTGAGGGTGGGAGGTGCGCGTGGGTGGGGCAGGGGAAAGCGGGGACAGGAGAATGGGCACAAATGTACTTGAACAATAAAAAAGTGAAAAGTAAAATCAAAAGCAAATGTTGTCTTTTTGAAAATTTTCATTTACTGATTTAGAGAGAGAGAGGGAGGGTGGGACAGAGAAAGAGAAAAAATAATCTTGCTTTCTCTTCCCACCTCTTTATGCATTCATTGGTTGTTTCTTGTATTTTGTATGTGCCCTGACCAGGGATTGCAGCTGCAACCTAGGCGTTGTGGTAACAACAGGTAGCTTTTGCGAACTCTGGACGTGTTTACCTATCAGAATCTATTGTTTGAACACCGGTGGGGCAGGTCTCAGCCTTAAGAATCTGATACTGCCCTGAGCGTCCAGAGTAGTAAAAAAAAATTCTCCTCTGCAACCGTGAAACATAAAAACAGCTCAAGACGAGGGGGTGGAGCATATTGGTAAGATTTCTATTTTGAAAAGTCCTAAGAAGCAAAGCCCAGAACTGGCCCTCTCTGCCGGAGCGCAGCACAGGCCGAGGGCAGCCTGCGCCCAAACATGACGTCTCTTCCCAGCCCTCAAGCCTGCCCTGTGGCTTTGCGCTGCATTCACGTCAGGTTTCCCTGAAACCAGCTGGGGCCCACTGCTGGTGCTCAAATGTTCCGGGGGCTGGCGCCCTTCCGTGGCCAACCTCGAACAGAGGGGCCTGGCCTTTCCCCAGTACATCCAGTCACAGCGCCTGCCCTGCCACAGGACGCAGCGTCTGCCCATCGCCCAGTGCCTGTGGCCCCGGCAGGTGCTCAGCGTTTGCTTGGAAGACATTAGAGCCAGTCCTGCCTGAAGGAAGGGCAGACTGCGCCTCCTGCGGGTTGTTACACGCCGAGGAGGGCCCTT